ATATTTATTAAATATGTATTTTTATTTTTAATTTCATCATTATAGATCAAATCAAACTCCTCTTTCTTTGGATGCACATATACTTGATGAATTAATCAAATTTCATCGTCATCTTTCTAATATGTTACGTGATTCAATGAAGTAAAAGAATCTAAACAAAGTATTTTATAAATTTCTTATCTTACTTAGTTTTTTAGAACTCAACATTGCATTGGTGGTCTATTTCTACAAGTAGCTCCTACTTATAAACCTATTTTTGAAGCTTACTGTTATCAACATGCTAAAATCCTTTTTCTATTTAATCGTAATAAGTAAGAACAATACAAACTATTTAGGTTTTTATTTTTATTTATGATTTTCAATATAAAATAGAGATCGAATATTGAACGCTATATCAAAAATTGATCCATCGAATGATAATAATAATGCTTATATACATTTAATTAAAAACTTATCATTACCAATACATCGTTTAGATAGATATGCTAGTTTACTTAAAGAATATTTATACAATCTTGAAGTAAAATTTTTCAATTTTTAAAATATAAACATATTTATATTATTCAAGGAGTTTCATATCGATCGTGGGAATGCACAACGAGCAACTGAATATTATAATGAATTAACAGTAAGAAATCAAAGAAAGAAATTTCTATTATTAACGTTAAGTATTATTTAATAGTCATGCGTAGCTGAATGGAGAAAACGAAAAGAATGGGAGCTTGATATTTTACACAGTACTATTCATGGACTTGATTCGGAAGTAAAAGACAAATTGTTTTTTTTTCCCAAAATAATTTTTTGTTTTTAGTCATTAAAATCACTTGGTGATACATTATGTCTAAGTCCTGTTACTGTGCTATTAGAAAATAGTGCTACTCAAATACCATTTGAACGTACAGCAGTTCTTTATCCATCATCTTTAGTTCTGCTTTCAACTTCAGCTAATCAACAAGAATATTATTTAGAAGTAGATTAATAAAATATTTATTTAGATAAAAATATAATTTTTTTCTTTGTTTTTATAGAATCGCTTTCAAATAAGTCAAATAACTATTAGTAAAATAACTGATATAAGCAAACGTGCTTTGAAAATAAATGGTATTGATAAAAGAAAACAAATAGAAGAATAAAAGATTTAATAAGAATTTTTTTTAGTTCCATCACATCCATCATTAATTATATCATTTCCAAGTGTTGTCGAATATCATGAATGGTGTGAAAAATTTTGTTTATTATTAACAATAAAATCTCAATCTCAACAATGGGTTCCAAAAGTAATTCATTTACTGACTTGTTTTGTTTTTTCTCTTTAATTAAATATTTTCTTTTTAGTCAACATTACCATTAACTGGAACAAAATCAAGTCCAACAAGTCTAGGAAATATTACTTCAAAACTTCCAATGAAAAATCCGGCGTGGTCAAAAGGTTGTCTTCGTCCACATTCACCATTACGACTTCATCCTACAATAACAACATTAACAGCTAGAACTGCTTCACCAATACCATTATCTAATATAAATATGAACGATACATCAATAAGTTCACATGAAAGTGGACCAAATCGAACACTTAAACGATTTATGACAATGAAAAAATCAAAAGCAAATGAGTTTCTTAAACGAGGTAAAAGAAAAAATAGTTTTTCGAATAAATTATAACATTATCTTATTGATTTATTTATTATTTATTAGTCGAAACAAGTGAAGGTGATGCACTTCTACTTTCTATTATTGAAGGCTATTGCGTGACGACGACTAATACTGGAACAGCTATTACTAATTTAAATACTGTGATATCAAAGACAAGAAATTCAATTCATGGAACTACTAATCATACAAATATATCAAATTCACCTATAACAAAAATGAATACGTAATAGAATGTTTAGTTTTTTTTTTTTATATTTCAATTTTAAATGTTGTTGAAATTTTTTTTTTTAATAGTGAGCGTCAAACAATGTATGATATCTTACGTGAACTTCGTTTAGCATATAAAACACTTCAACAAGAACTTGAAGAAGAAAAACGAGCACGTCAACAATTAGAAAGTCAGATACAAAAATTATTTATTCTAATACCTGAAAATAATTTTATATAATTAATAGGTTCTTTTTTTTTTAGTTTTTTTTAATTTAGTGTGTGACATATTTATGTGTGTGTGGGTTTTGTTTTTGTACGTTTTATTTATAGTATAAATATACACAGTATTGCATTTATGATTTAGTTTATAGCAATCTAAACTATTAAATCATTTTGTCATAAAAGTAACAATTGAGAAGATTTTCTCAATTTAACTATATGTCCTCGTTTGTATTAATTGATAGACACAGTTGAATTTGAAATTGTTAAAAAAAAAAGAAGAAGAATTTTAGGATGTTGATAGAATCATGAGCAATGAAAATTTGTTTGAGTTATTTGAAATGTGAATTGATTTGAAAGTTAATCGAACTGTATTTAATTTTGTTCAATATTATCTGTTAATAACAGTCAAATGTGCTTATTCTAAGAGTTTGTTTTAAACATGATGGAAGTGTTTGTAATAGCGGTGACTTATTATGAAATAGTAGGACATACTTCATCGCACTCTTCAGATCGTTTCTTTTTGTTAAAATCAGTCGATTTTCTATTCGCTTTTGACAAATTCACGAAGGTTTACGAAAAGAAAAATGTTATATCATTTTCTTTTGCGCAAGAAATAAAAACCAAGCATTTTTCTAATTTAATGATACTTCTCATTTATATACAAGGCTGAGTGAAGTATCAATTACACAGACGAAGGAAGATCCTTGAGAGTAGTTCGATAATTGGACTGAAATTTTGGTATATAAGTAGCTCTTATGAATTTTAGAATGCTCTGAAAATTTCAGCTGAACGAGAAATGTTCTTCTTGAGATACTCAATATCTAAGAACAGTCATGTATTCCAAGGAAAAGTTAGAAAACTCTGTGCTTTTAGATTTCAATATCTCAAGAGCAATACATATTTTTGAGCTGAAATTCTCAAGACATTCCAAAACTCATGAGAGCTAGATATGAGTAAAACTTCAAATTGAATTTTTGTACGTCAATTTTTTCACAAATATCTTATCAGAAACAAAACATTCAGTAAAATTGTAATAATTTTGGAAGGATAACGCATGAGATGAATACTTATAAGCCTTGTAAATGGTATCAGTATTATTCAAATGAAACAATGCTAAAAATTGACTAAAATTAACAGTTTAAACTACAAACACTGATTTACCTGATTTGTTGACATTAATTGACGGGTAATTTACTTATGAGAGGTTTCTGCTAATGAATGATAATCTTCATAAAATTAGAATATTATGGAATACATCTTGCTTTTACAGTTCATAAAGTAATTCCATTTATTGCTCATATCGTTGTTATAAACACAAGAATATTCTGACTTTATTAACTTCGTGTTCACTACAATGATAAAACGTTTTCAAATATTCTGACAATTCATTAATATGATTATTGAGTTTCATTATATAGAATCAATATCAACTTGAGACTTGCTCGCAATATAGTAGAACTCAAGGTGAACGATCATAATTAATTTTTGAACCACTATGGACCATAAAAATGCTGCTTAATTTCAACGTGCGGCATAGAATTACAAAAGTTAATTACAAATAATGTAAACCTATACAGACAAAAAAATCAAATTTTTGCGTAAATTCTCCTGAGAATACAACATTTTTTATCATATCATGCAAGTTCATTGTGACTATCACTATATTTCTTTTACAAATTCATTCAAACTTTTTTGCTAACAAAAGAAATCATAGAATCTTATTTTTTTTTGTAATTATTTATATTACGTCAATATTAATCTGTTAGAAATTTTCATAAAATTTTTTTTTATCTTCTATGACAGCACAACACATGATGATGATCATAAACAAATGATTCTATTTTTAAAAGAAATTAATTTATCTATTAAGTGTTTTTTTGCATGATACAAATGTCGCATATTTTCATTATTATCCTAATGTTTTTTATAGAAAAAGAAAATAAGATTTTCCTTTTTTTCTAATTAGAAATACTAGTAGTCATGCGAAATACATTAGTGATATAATAAAATAATTCATTCAATTGAGCTATACTGTTTTTTTCTTGCACTCAGTTTAAACTTATATAAAATTTTAATGTGATACATAAAACAAGATTTTTCTTGTTTTGTAAGAAATTCTCAAAATTAGTAATCAAGATTTAAAAATAGCTTAAAATTGTTCAGTAAATGCGTTACATATTAAACTTGAACTCATTTTGATCATTAATAAAGTCATTGAATGGATATTTGTATGCTTTATATAAGTTTATCTAAATGAAGAATCAGAGTTTAATTGTCGATAATTTATTTTCCTTGGTATATCAACCGAGAAACTAAAAGAATATTTTTAATACATTTGAATTCTGTATTTGCTATGTCGAATAAGCAATTGATTGAATTCAAGTAAACTATTGATTTATAAATAATTTCGAATTATTAACTATGATGAACACTCCATAATGTATTGATTGATGATTGGATTAGGTAGAAATAGGCAATTATTTATTTATTTTTTTCAGTATTATTATCTATCAATATGAAATTTGATCTTGCTCTTGTATTCTTCATTGTTCTATCAAATAAAATGCAAAATACCTTTTGAAAATTCATTTATTTTTAATTATCTAAGTGTCATCTTATGATAAACTGACATTTAATGAAAATATTTTATCCAAAGAAAATTGTCTTACTCATTCATGGATGTTCATTCAATAAATATAATAATTATTCAAAGTACAATATTAGTAGACTTTTCGTAAATCTTATATTCAATGTATATTTTATCGGAAATATTTTTCCTTAGAACCAATTATTGTAGTAATTGTAATGATTCATTTTACAATGAACAAAATCAACATATTGAATGTGACTAAATTCTTTTTTTTTCTATTTACAACATAAATGACAAATAAAGAAAATACATCATAAAAGAGTATTTAACATAGTGTACCATGAATATAAGGTGGTGGCGGTGGATAATAATGGGGTGGTGATTCTAAATTAGTATAAACATGTTGCGGAAGAGAAGTAGGAGATTGTCGTCTATCTGGATAAAAATAACTTTCTACTTCACGATCACAAAGTAAATCATCTAATGAATCAGATGAATATTGTTGCTGTGGTAAATGAATAGATGATTGATGATTTTGTTGTTTATATGATGAATTTATGGAAGAATTGTCAGGAATTTTTGATGTCATCATAACAGAAGATAGAGATTGTCGTTGATGTATTATTGGTTGTTGTTGAAGAAGTGTTAATCCATATGAATTCATTAATATATCTTCATTTTTTACAGATGGCTTTGGATGAAAGTAATATGTTTTTGTTGCAATATTATTAGATGTTGAAGGAGAAAACCGGTAGAGTTGTTGTCGACGATTGCTTGGAACATTTTCTTTATCATTATTATTATAATTATTTTGTTCATTTGAACTAGCAACAGTTCGTCGTCGTGAAAAATCAATTGCACGACGACGATTTGATTTTGTTAATAAATTTGTTGTTTGTTCATCTGTTAGATTTGTACGAGATTGATGAGCACTTTTTTGTGGTGTCATTCTTTCAAACATTCCTTTTGTAAGAATCGATGAAGTAAATGATGCTGTAGGAGAAACTGCTCGTTCATATTGTTTTTGTTCAATTACTGGTCGATTTAATGTAGCAACCAGTGATGTACTTCGTTTAGGTGTTTTACTAGTTGATGAAGTTTTTTTCATGATTACTAAAATATATAGAATAAGTGTTACTATTAATATAAAAATTTACGTTGAGTGTACTATTACTATTGCGTACGATTTTCTTTTTTTTTATTCTTCAAGACTGTTAATATTTATAATATGAAAATAAAGGTAAGAAAAAAAAATGAGAAGGTGGTTTATGAGAGTAGGAGAAAGGAAGTCCAATAATGAATAAGAAAATAAATGTAAATAAAAAGAGTACACATAAACGAATTTCGTATACAAATCTTTCACAATATGCAATATTGAATAATAATAGAAAAGAGAATGAGTGGAGAGAAAAAAAATGAATGAAAGTAAAGTTTGAGACATTACATGATTCATAGATGAATAAGCTATTCTAATGAGTTAAAGCAAACACTTTTATTCGTTACCATAACAAGAAGTAAATCATCAAGATGAAAGAAGAAAAAGACAACCCGTTTATGTTTAACATAGATGAAATCAATACAATTCTATAGAATATTAATTTGATACTGTGGAATTTGATAAGAGTCGAAAAAAAACGAAATGATTTAAGTGAGTAAACCGAAAGACTTTTTTCTATAATTAGAAACCTTTTTTTCCTTTTCATTGAAAGAATGAAAGAAGATCAGTTACTATAACTTACGTCTGTTAAGTTATTTGTCTTACCTTGACTGACGTTTTCAACAAGCACCACAGCCCCCGAATACAATTTTGATTTTGTGGGTGAATTGCGTTATTCGTTTCACCTTGCTTCGTCTTCTTCTCTTTTGCTTTGCGTTCTTTATCCATCTTCATTTTTACATACTCGCCTTTCATTTACTTCACTGCTCTCTCTTTCTTTCTGTTTCTTCTTTTCTTTCCTAACATACAGACACAAACACATACGGCAGTCAAGCAACAAACATTTACGTCTTATTGTATATCACTATCCAACACCCATAGATATGAGTCAATTGTCGATGTTAAAACGGGTCGAATATTCGCAAGAGAAAAAGAAGAAAGAAAGGAATGACGCCCATAAAATAAGTACGAATATGTGATATTATTAAAATGGCAAAAATGACTATATCAAATATTGAAGTGTTTTTTCTTTTTTACTTCAAGTGAACTTAGAACAAAAAAAGAAAAGGAAAGTGATCTTACTTTGATAATCAATTTCAATAGGAGATGATGATATTGATTGTTCTTGAATTTCATCAATAAATAATAACTCATCTAAATATTGTTCATCATTTGTCATCATTTCTGTATGATCAAGCCATGCAGAAATTTTTTCAAAATTAGTTGCTTTAGTTACATAAGATACATGATTTTGTTTATTGTAACATTTAGATTTTATTGGTGAATGATGATAATATGTAAATGGAATTGATATTTTATTACATGTTGTTATTGTTGATGATGGAAGATCGTAAGATGCTGAATATTGATCAAATGTATTAGTTGATGGCATTTCTTTTGACGTTGTTGAACGTAAAAGTTTATTTTTAGGCGGAATTATAAAATTTTTTAATTTAGTTAGAAAATTATGAAAACCTAGAAGAAACAATATGTTTTAACCTTTGCATATATATATACCAAAATTACTAAGAATGGCATAGAAAAAAAAAACTATATTTCTGTCTATAATAAGTTCGTAACTTGTTTTGAGGATAAGTATAGTAAGTCTGTTAATGGCTTAGTTGCATCTTTTGTCCTTTTCTCGTCAAGACATGAAATCATTGATTGATATAGTCCTCAAATGAGGACAATATATGAGACAGAAACAGATATTGCCGTAAGTAGAAATACGTCGAAATATTTTAAGCGTAGATCATTTCTTTATCACATGTCTTTGGCTATTATTATTGCTTACCCTTTGCTTTTGTTTTGTGTTGATTACAGGTTATTGAAGATGACGATGTTTTTTTTGAAATTGAAATCATTGTTGTCGAAATCGACGAATCACCTGTTGAATAGCCGCTTGATGTTGTGGCTATTGTATCAGGTGATAAAGTACCTGAAGTCGATTGTTTTGATTGATCTGAAAATTTTGATGTTTTTAAGAGTGCATGATGACGTTGACATCCTTTTGATAACATTGTTCGATATTATCTGCAATAAATAATGTTTATGTGTACGATATTCGCTATGTTTTAAGCTATATTAACGAGTAACAACAAGCAGTATAATAAATAGAATGAAAGAAAAAAAGTACCGCTTTATATATATATATATATATGAATCCACTTGAAAATCAACAAATAGAAATACTTAATTTGCGCAGCTTCCTTTTCTTTAACTTTCAATCACACTATAGTCACAAAACATTTTTATGTATGTATTTATTATATATCCATCATTTTTTTTTAATTTTCCATGTATACACATATACAAGTGGTATGCTTTGCCTTTAGACAAGCAAACTACTCAAATATTTCGTTATTCTTTCATACTTGCATGTTATACTACGCTCATAATTGACGGCTGGCGACTTTCATCATGAAAAATGAAAAGAACGAATATTTGAGAGTAAAAGAATAGTTTGCTTTAGTTCTCGTTCATGTATGTTACGTTACTAACGACTGGTCTCATTCATTATTCGTTGTTGCTATGTCGTTTCTCCTAATCATACATAGTACACACGCATACTCAAGTTACGACTCAACGGAAGTAAACATACAATGTGAATAAGAGTTGTGTATAAGTGTGCATTTATCGAGGTCACTGGAGACAATTCTAATGTCGTCATTTGGTTGCTCGATCAAATTCAATTTATTGTCCAGCATACGAAACAACGATCATTTAGAAAGGCAAAAAAAAATCGACTTTTTTTCTCTCTTAGTAATCATACTCATTACAGAAAATTAAAGAATGACGACAATTTTCTAGTTTTGAATATATATACATAAAGCAAAAACAGAAGAAGAATGAAAAACTCTTGATAACCTAGAGGCATTTACTTATGTCTATTGCGCTACAACTATTCATAAACAAAAGAGAAAAATCAAAGTTTTTTTTTTTCTTTTTACAGGAAATGACTTGCGACACAAATAATACATAAAAAAAAGAAATGACACAATACCTATCGGCATATTAGTTGATCAAACTCGAACAACAAGAAAAAAAATCTATTACATGAGTATTAACTATCCTTGGGTTTTTACGGAGATGCTCCGGAACACACAATGTTGTTATACGAAGCTATAACAGGAAAAAGAAAATGCAAAAAAAACGAAAGGCCGTCGTGCGTTCAAGTCATTTTCTTTTATTATATCATAAAAGGATAATATTTCTCTTAAACCTTTTCTTTTTTCTTTTTGTCGGATAAATTTTTTAGCAATTAAGAAATAACTTTTACTGCTTCTACAAGTTTCTTATATTAAAAAATCTTCTATTTTCAATAATAAAATAGAATCGATATGATTGTTCGACGACTATAACGATTTAATTACTTATTATCAACAATAGAAGGATACATTTTTTGAGTATACTTATATAAATGACAGATCTTGAATATGAAAAACAGAAATAGCTGAACGGAAAAATAAGTTAATAAAATCTTCTTATATTATTCATATTTTTCCATAAGTTATAGAAGGTCTTATCATTTCTCTTTCTCTTTCTCTTTCGAACATAATCATGGTATTTCGGTTGATTGTACAAATTTTTAAATTTCATTTAAATATCATAATAATTCATTCAAATATTTAAATCATTTATTAAAATATTATCAATTTGATTATCATAAATTTACATTTAATAAAACACATAAAAATAAAAAAATAAAATAAAATGGAAATTTATCTTAATATAGAACTATATCTTTTTTCTTAATTACATTTAATCTCTAGAGAAAGATATGCGATGCAGAAAAAAAAAAATTTTTTTTTCCCCAAGTAGATGATGAGCGCATTTCTATGCAAATCGTTATTCTATAAAAGAAAACAAAAACTGAGAATGACATGCACTGGTTACTTCTATCTATTATTATGACATTAATGAGACCTAATACAATATGAAATTGACTTGAATTAGAATATTAAATGCACAATTTGAGAGTACTGTCATAATCATTTGTTTGTGTTATTCATGATTGACAATACAAACATTTATTCAAACTATTACTAAAGTATATTTACTGTTTTCAAATGTTGATTTTTCTTAGTATTATATTAATAATCAAAAGAAAACCAAATATAAATCAGATAATAGCTAGTAGAAAGATTTTAAAGAATTATCATTGTTGAACTTCATGTGAAAATATTATGTCATCATTTTTTCAAGGTCAAAATCGAAATACAAACAAAAAAAGAATCATTGTTACGGTACATTTTTAATTAGATGTCTTTCTGCAATAATATTTATATTTATATGTGTATGTGTATTTTTTTGGTAACAAACTTATGAAATAATTTTTTTTTTTAGCATGTTCAATTATCTATCGTCTCTTTCATCATACATTCTATCTTTTGTTATAGTCATTAAATGATATTAATAGATGATAACGAACTATACTTGAAATTGGATGAACATTTAAGAGATTTGTTTTCTTTTTTAATATATATTTATATACATTTGATGAGAAAAGTTCTCCAATTCATAAGTTGCTCTTGAGTCGAGAATAGATGCATTATGTAGACCCTTATGAGCGAGCTATGAGTGCTCTGAAAAGAATTCGTGTCTTCAACATATTACTGCGAAGATACTGCACTTTTACAATATTTTATAAATGAATGCAGAAATACCAGAAAAGAACTGACTTTCGAATTTCGGCTCGAAACTTTGTATAGAGACAATTTGTCACGAGAATAGTTTTTTATCAATCTTTCAACTCTTGTCACTGTTTCTATCATAAGATACAATTATGGAAGTAGTATGTCTTTTACATCACTCATATATAAATCAGTAGATTTCGTATTCTTATTTCAGAATAAAAGCAAACCAAAAGATTCTAAATTTTCACAATAAACGAGTTTTATTAAAGCTTGTCTCTATGAAAAGTTTCAAGTCGAAATTTGAAAATCAGTTTTTCTGGTATTTCTGCATTTATTTAAAAAATACCATAAAATTGCAATATATTCGTAGCAATAAGCTAAGAGCACGAACTTTTTTCAGGATATATATAGTTCATTTGCTTCTACAGTCTCCATCCAAAAGCGATTTTATCAGTTGAAGAGTTTGACTTGTGCGAAAGTCATTTTTGTTAGTTAATAACAAATGTTGAACTCGTCTGAACAATATACAGTTGAATGAATGAAAAAAAAAAAACTTTTTAAGATAAAATATCAAAGATAATTTTGACTAAATATTATATATTTGTTTTCTAATGGTCAGTATAAGAATAGAAGAAGATTGAAAGTAAGATGAATATTTCGAAAATCATAATAGCTAGTGAAATCCAATTTTCAGTAATTGAAAGAAGAAACATCATAAGCAATAGTATATTATTCGAGCAAGTAGATGCATGATTTTATTAACCGAATATTATAATATTAGAAGATAATTATTTAATTTGTGTCTTGAACTATAGATCTGAAGTCTCTTATCAAAGGTATATGTAGATATCAAAATCAAAATTTCATCGAAACAACAAACCATTTTTATACTTATTTTTTTTTGAATGCTTTATGGATATGATTAGTTCTAAAATTTTTTCTTTTCTTCCATGTTATCGAAAAGAAAAAGACATCATGACATGTCCTCTTTCGGTTGCTGGAAACGACATATCACTAGCTATTACCATGCATGAAATAGTCGTTTTACTCTCCCTCATTTTTATTCTGACGCTGATATTAATGTATGTACAAAAGTATTCAACTTTGTTCTAGTGAAACTTTATAGAAACTTGTTGTTTATAGATATATTGAATTATTCACATCAATAGATTCGCTTTTTTGACAGCATATGATAAAATTTTAATGTATCAAAATCATCTCATGTATTTGAAATGTATCCATTTATTCTACTAAACCTGAAATGATAATATAAAATTATTATCTTTTGATTGAAAGATCGTCTTTTGAAGAATTTCATTGAAATTAAGAATTAGTTTTTATTCAAATTTTAATTAGATATAAATGTTTATCTTGAAAAGAAGACAATTATTTAATATATTTATTTTAAGACTCAATTATTCTTCTATTTATTTAACAATTAATCATTGTTTCTGCATAATTATCTCGATAAATATATATCATTACAATGCAATATGCTTTGACATTGATCTGTTGGAATCATAATGAAATGTTGACATTCAGTTATTTCCAGGCTAGTTGAATCTCATATCAAATTGAATAAACGATTATCTTTGTTACACGTGAATATGACGATATGACAACGATTAAGATATTGGTGCTTTAATAAATAAATAAAAATATCTTCATTTTTCAAACGTATTTATTTTGAACAGAAAAAAAAACGTTACAAAAAAAAATCGAAAAGATAAGACAGAGTTCATTATTGTAGTTGTTGGATTGATGTTGTTGATTGAAACACCATTTGTTGATATGGAAGCCATCCTAACAAACCTATTGTCTAAAAATCCTAACTATAAAACAAATATGGGTCCTAAGAAACTAAAATTTCTCTGTTATTCTTTTCATTCTAATTAATTATTTAAAGATAGTAATACAAAAAAATCTATTCCACAGAAAAATAAACAATATTTTTATTCACTATTCAAATTTTTCTATACTAAAAAGAAGTACCTAACGAATTAACCGATCAAAAAGTATTATAATTCTACTAATGAAATATTTAAAAAATGTAAGAATAATCTCTACTTAAATCAAACATCTTATAACTTACAAAAAAAAAATTCTTTTCCACTTACTTAATTATTCTGAAATAATAAACTTAACAGAATAGAAATACTTATATAGAAAATTTTTACTAACAACACACAATAACACAGAAAAATTACATTTGTTAACGAGGAACAAATATTTTATAGTGCAACACATTTATTTATTCATTTAATCACTACTACCTTTTTACCCTATATACTTTTTCGCGATGAACTTTAATATAAAGGTCATATTCTTCACTCAGGTTAAATGAAATTGTAGATAAAAAATGAAGAGAAAGTAATATCAACAGA